CAGGATATATAGTATAGGTGGGTGAAATAGCATGTGTGCATGTGTTGCATTTAGAAGAAGGAAATGCATCGAGAGAAATTAAAGAGCATGCATTGCATTGCATGCTGCCTTTGTCGTTGTCCCTAGCCAAGTTTTGATGAGGATCACAGAGGGGCCCAAAGTGCATTTAGGGGACTGTTTCCAATACACGCCTACAGGCATATATATCCACGGCTCACATATAACCAATTTTTTGTTAGTAATAGAAGATTTGACTGAAACTGTTACCCTATCATAACCCAAGATCTCTGTCCTACTACTACTACTATTTACTAAAAAAAATAGGGTGCAACAAAAAATTAATTAATTAATTTATTAACATGCATGTCACGTTTTCGCACCGCTGATGAAGCCCAAACTTAATTTGCAGCAAAGGACATATATATATGTGTCCAGTGATGAAGCCCACAGGTAAAGGCCTTCTTAATCTTGAGATTACGCCAAGAACGGCCCATGTATCATATCGTCGGCTGTGTTGCTAAGATGCTTGCGTGCTCACTTTCAGCTTGGAAAAACGCAATGAACAGTTGCCGGGGCCTAGGCTTCGTCCATCCACCATGGAATCACCTACGTGAGAGCAGTATTGCAGTAGGTTATACCACACAACGAATTTCTGATTAAGATAGGTTACATAATTAACATAATCGTTCAATTAAGATGCACATTCTATCTCGATTTTCATTAGCATGTTTTTCAAATCAATAAACAGCTTTTTTTTAAAAAAAAAACTTAGTAGCACCCTATATCACCCGTTGGTTCCCTTAGTCGACATGTATGAATCGACCTATGGTGGGCGGGACCTCATGTAAGACGCTGGGCCTCAAAGTATGGGTCAAAGCCTAAATCATAGAGAGTGATATCCCCATATACGAGGAGACTAGCTTTTGGGATCTTTCTTGGTCAGGCTCCGATTAAGCTCTTCTTAGTGAAATACCATGGGGGTGGTTTTTCCCAACCAACTAGGTTTATGTGAAAACTTTATATTTGTAAGTTGCCCTAAAATTTTAAATAAATTTATTTTTAAAGTCTATAAAAATTTATACTCACTTAATTATATAATAATGGCTTAACTCGTTTTACATGGGCTAAAAAATCTTCGTGTGCTAGTGAGAATTTGGGTGAATAGCCAAAATGGTCCTTCAAGTTTCATCTGATGCTCGGTTTAGTCCTTGATGTTTCAATCTATCTATATTAGTCCTTCAAGTTTTCATTTTAGTTCAAACTTATCCTTGAACCAACAACTCTCTTCATAAATGACATTTATACCCTCATCATTCACATCTATAAGAGAAAAATTGCATGCTTCAATTTTTTTATAGATAATACATAGTATATTATGTAAAACGAAAAAAAATTATGTACTAACAAGTGTATACGATAGCAATTGCTTAAGTTTTATGTGCACATGTTGAAATAATGGGAAGTATATCTGTAATGTTGTTTATTCATGTTGCCTTTCTCTTTTCTAGTATATAGATATATACAAATTAAGGGTAAAAAGGACATTTTCTAATAGAAATATTGATAGAAATAGCCATATGGCATATTAAGTGCACCCAAGGATGATTTCAAGTCAAAACAAATATTTGAAGGACCTATGTGGACAAAATGAAACGTGAAGAACCAAATTGAGCCTTAGCTGAAACTTGAGGGACTAAATTAGCTATTTACCCATAAGAATTTCAGTGTGGTTGGTGTTTTTGAAATCCATTTCATGAAACAATAGAGATGCAAGTGGGTAGTCTCACTACCTGTATAAAAACTCGCTTGCTAGTTTATTTCTCACACAATAATATAAAATTTAAAAGAAAAAATAAATTAAAAATGAGATAAGCGGGCTAAAAAAAACCTACATGCCCGTCCGGCTTGCATGCCTACGAAACAATCCCATGTGTGGCAGCAGTGGACACCGTGTGGCCGCCATGTGAGGCGCGGGCGCTGCACCTGTGCGACGATCCAGGATGTGACGCGTGCCCCCTTATCGTCCGTACGATGGGCCCCACCGTGGCCTGAAGTGGGGGAACATGCCAAGTGGGGCCCGGCCCGGCCGACCTCTTTGGAGTTGTTCCTGGGCCGTCAGATGGTCTCATGGAAGAGGTCCAAGAGGAGGACGTCGCTCCCGCATGTTAGGACAGTTTGTGGGGCCCACGGTGTCAGTGACAGGGCGTTGTGCCTAGTCAAAGTTGTTGACTGGCTGTATTGCGTACGGAACCACCGACTCTTACCATCGAGATGGATTGTGACGTGCAGTGTTACAGCTTAGGGTGTGTTCGGCAGCTCAATTACTGTGGCTGTTTAGTTGGTGAAATAAAAAGTTTTGGGTATCATATCAGACGTTTGGTAGGATGTTGGAAGAGGTTTTCGGACACGAATGAAAAACTAATTTCATAACTCGCCTGAAAACCGCGAAACGAATTTTTTGAGCCTAATTAATCCGTCATTAGCACATGTGGGTTATTGTAGCACTTGTGGCTAATCATGGCCTAATTAGGCTCAAAAGATTTGTCTCGCGATTTATATGCAAACTATACAATTAGTTTTTCCTTTTATCTATATTTAATGCTCCATATATGTGTCTAAAGATTTGATGCGATGTTTTTGGGAAAAGTTTTTTTTAACTAAACAGGCCCACAGTGGTTGTGCAGTGCTGCTGCTGTAGCGGCTATGGCTGAAATTGTATGGTGCTACTGTAGCTATTGGCTGTTAGTACAACTTTTTTTTAAGAGCTACAACATGCAAATTTCAAATTTGATTCGAGCTTATATGACATGCGCCGGTGTATTTGATAGGTCTAATCTCGCATTTCAGATGTGCCGAAACATATAAGCTAAAATATTAGCATCCATCCCAAAATATAAAAGTTAATATTTACTGCTCCATCCGTCCTAAAATATAATAATTTAGAACTGGATGGGACATCCTGGATGGGACATCCGGTTCTAAGTTTTTATATTTTGGGACGGAATTATCTTGTGGCATTAAAATTTTAGTGTAAAATTTAGTTATCTAAAGTTACTTTTGTAAAAACAGTTTAAAATTTTTCATAAGCTAAATTTTGCAGTGCTCATGTACGACTGTCATTGTTGTATCTTCGCACCGGAAAGGCCAAAACAGAATTATCTCGTTAGGCAAGTAGGATGAGACGATGCCACAAGTAGCATGAGATGAGACTACATAGTGGCATGTGACACCTTTACATACTACAGCTCACATAGATTAGAGATCCATGCGTACGCAGTCCTAAAATATAAAAATAAAGGAATGAAAGCAACATATTCTATTACTGTGAATCTAAGCCGATTCATAGTACAAATATACATCTCATTTTGTTATATAGGTTTTTATAATTTAGGATGAAGATAATAATGGCTGCCACTTCACTCAAAACAACACAAGATTGGAAAAGATGAGGTCTTTCGAGATAGAAGGAGTGGGAAAAGGAGAGCTCAAAGCTCATGACTCGAATCAGCTCGGATTGGTTTAAAGGTAAAGTCGTAGCGATATAGTAAGTTCGAGCCAAATTAGGCTTTTAAGTTTTAACTAGTAAGCTTAACGAGTTAGATCGCGAGCTACCTTGTTAGTATAAGATACCAACGTATCTTTATATACTTTGTGCTTACTTAGCATTTTAATTACATCTAAACTACTTACATTTAGTGAGTTCTTTATTACTTTGTGTTTATTATTATGTTAATATAAGATAAATTTAAAATTATGAAAGTAATATAAATGAGATATAAGAAGTGAAGATAGGTACTCCCTCCATTCTAAGGTCTTCATCGGTTGGCTTTTTCCCTAACAAGCCAAAACGGCTTATTAGGGAATAAAAATAAATTTGTAGGTAAAACTTTTATATATGTGTTCTTGGTGACTTAAAAGCCAATATAAAAAAGAAACTACGCTGAAAATATCTCAAAATCAATCTCCAAATTAAGTTTGAAAATTTAAAATTTGGCTTTTTCTTTGGCTGATTAGGCCATCCGATGAGAGCCTAAAATATACTACAACTTCTACTCCTCCGTCCTAAAATATAATAACTTATGGGCTTTAATTTTTTTCCAAAAACATAGATTCTCTTTCCAACCAACCATAACCCCTCTACCATTCAATTTTTTCAACTACCTCCATTTCTCAACCAATCACAATCTCATTCCATTTAATTCTATATATTTTCTTAATAATCGTGTCCAAAAAATAATATTCCGGGACAAAATTAGCAGCATTTAAAATTCGTTTCAAAATATAACGATTTCTTCACTTTTATTGAGTTCTCAACCAATCATAATCTTCGACCATCAAATTCTCCACATATCTTGCTTTTTCAACCAATCACAGTCATTTCTCATTTAATTTCACCTACTACCACTCTAAAACCTGTTATATTTTAGAATAGAAGTAGTAACTCATTAAACATGTCCTCTATATTTGGTTTGGGGATGAGGTGGGATGGGTTAGACTCATTTCCATTTCTTGGATTCGTCCGTCAATTTTTTAGGGACCAGACCATCTGAAGGGAAATATTTCCTCTCAGGATCATCCTATTCCAGTTATTCTCGAATCAAACGCTATTAAAAATAAATCTTGCTATACGTACGACTGAGCCATACGATTTGTGTCCGACCGAGTCATACAACCAATCACTGAACTTGTTTACTACCATGTGGGCCCAAACAAATAGCATATATGCTTATACATACACTAGTCGGATGGATGGGTCGGACTTATAGGTCGGACGTATAGCAATTTCGATAAAAAATAGATTCAGCCTGATCCATCCCAACATTCAACCAAACTAAGGGTGTGTTTAGTTCACGCCAAAATTAGATGTTTGTTTGAAATTAAAACGATATGTGTGTAGAAAAGTTTTAATATGATAAAAAAAGTTGAAAGTTTAAAGAAAAAGTTAGTAACTAAACAAGGGCTAATGCATAAGATAACTGCGGGGTCGTCATCCACCCGAATTGCCCATCCGGCCACGGCCACTTTGGCCGCAGCGAACCTCTGAAGCCTGAACTCGGCGATGTGAGATGAGAGAGGAGAGACTGGCAAAAGAAGAGGACTGCCATTCTGCCAACAAGGCAGAGAGAGTACTCGTCACCCTCACCGGCCAGTCGGCCACACTCGAGTGTCTGGACGACCGTCGTCCGTCGTGTCGCCACCACACACTCACACTGTAGCTAGCTATCATCTCATCACTGAAACTTTCCACCAATCCTTTCCTCTAAAAAAAGGCTCCGCTTTTCAGGCGACACACAGCGCCGCGCCGCATCCGTCCACGATCCATCGGCATCGGCATCGGCATCGGCATCGGCGGCCATGTGAAGCGCGGCCCCCGCCACCGCCACCGGCGCGCGATCGAGCTGAGCTGCGAGGAGAGGAGAGGCAGCGAGGCAGGCTGCCACATGGGCGGGAGACACGCACCGGCGTTGCCAACCTCACCGGGGGACAGCCGTCTCGTCGATCTGGTGAGTGACTGTTGTCTGCTGGTGTGCGCAGGCGCAGGCGCCATGGATCTGGATGATGGATGGATGGCCGGTGTCGAAACTAGATTTCGGCAATAATAAAAGTGTATGGGTTTGGCAGTCAAAATTAGATGTTTGTTTAAAGAAAAAGTTAGTGTTGACAGTCAAACTTGATGTTGACAGTCAAGATAGGGGGTGGCTATCAAGCTGGAAAAGTGTATGGGTTTGGAGACAAAGGATTTATACAGGTTCAGGCCTTCTTATAAAAGAAGTAATACCCTACTCCTGTCCGGGGATGAATCCGCCGAGTGTATTATTGATTGTATGATTTAGAGAAAATCAACATCCGCCCCTAGAGGCGCCCAGACCCTCCTTATATATGGGAAGGAGTCCGGGTTACAAAAGATAATCTATATCCCTAACGGAATACATAGATACAGATCAAATACAGTCGTGACCGACTAAGTCTCAAGGTGTTTCCTTGATGTACAAGTTAAGAAACAAACCCGAGATACAAGTAAGATATTCTATCTATATTCGGTATCCTATATTCAGCCCAAATATTGTCGCCTTGTAGATATGGGATATCCATAATCTCCACAGTAGCCCCCGAGACCTTTGCAGTCAACCATCGTAGCCTTCCCAAAGATAATAATCCGAGTGCTTCAAACTTTTCATGCCAAGGCCTACCGAGTAGCGAAGACGAAGACTGTAAAGGGCGAAAAGATAAAGAATATGGTGCATCGAATAGATGCACCTAATTAGGTGTAGCCCCCAACTATGTGATTAGTTAACAAACTAATCATATAGTTGAGAACAAAATAATAGCATAATCATGCATCATATGACAATAGCATACGCGGCGCCTAAAGAGGCATTCTTGCCGACTGCTTTTTAGCCATAATAAAAGAAATCCGAGTGGTTAACACTCTAAAAGGTTCACGAATGAACACACTGGACAGGCATCCGAATATAAAACTCTAAAGATTACCCACCAAGTATTATAAAAATTATGGTAATGAATAAGTCTAATAGCCTAGGCTATGACTATTTACCATAATGAAAATAGGTATATAACATACCAAGGAAGTGACTATGATAAAAACAAGTCATTCCAAATTAACCCAGACAGCTTTTGTAGCCTAATAAAGCTAACAAAAAGCAGTATAACACCTTTCTGTCGGGCACCTCTTAATTTGCATTGCAATAATTCCAAAGAATTATATGACCGCATAAAAAGGATTTTATCAGCATTGGGCAACACTATTGTGCGCATAATATTGCCAAAGCAAAATATGCCTAAGTCCCTAAGGAACACAATGGGCCACGCTGTTAAAAGTATTGGGCTGAAGTACTGTTCAGGCCTAGGCCCATTTGCACCTCCGATACCCTTAACAAGAAATCCCGAGATCCAAGCGACGCTTCGTCTTCCCCGCCGGAACTCTCGCCATTTTCCCCACTCCTTGCTACAGTGCAGAACTGCGCTGGCGAACTAGGGTTCACCACTCCACTCAAATCCACCTTCGAAAAAGTGCATCAAAATCCTTCCCGTGATCCACCGCCTCAATTCCTCACCTCTCCCAAGCCATCCCTCGAATCAAATCAGCGCATTCGGGGAAAATCGATGGCGGAAGAGAAAGAAAGCTTTGAAGGCCAGTGGGCGCCGTCTGACGTAACGGAAGAGAACCTGAAGGAGATGGTGGCGCACGGCGTTCTCCCTGCCAAGGAGATCATCGGGTGGCGGCCAGCGTGCGGTGAGATTTTTCCGACCCCCGATACACACGAGATTGTGGTCTTCTCTCATTTCTTCTATGGCGGCTTCGCCCTTCCGACCTCGAAATTTTTCCGTGGGATATTAAGCTTCTATGGAATGAGCTTGCATCACCTAAACCCAAATTCCATAGTCCACATTGCCAATTTCATCCATGTCTGTGAAGCCTTCTTAGGAATTAAACCCCACTTCGCTCTGTTCCGCCGAATCTTCTTTCTCAAACCTCAACCAAACAAGAGTAAGCCATGTGTAGTCGGAGGGGCCGGATTTCAGCTGAGGGGAACTCTGAGCCAGAAATACTTCTCAATGCCCTTCAAGACTTCAAACAAAGGATGGCATGCGAACTGGTTTTATGTTCAGAATCCTGAGCCTGCTCTTCCCGAATACTCTTGTCTTCCCCCGGTGTACCAAGATACTTGGAACTCTCTTCCAATCGGAGATGAAGCTGCCCAAGCCTTGGAATTGTTGGATCGCATGTTAAAACTCAAAGAACGAGGCTTGCAAGGAGAGCAGATCACTCGGCATTTCATCAAATGCCGACTGGCGCCAATTAAAGAAAGATCCCGTACAGCTTTTGAGTTTGACGGCAAGCATGATCCTAATCGCGAAGAACCAGACTCTCTGGATTTCAAAATCATGAAGGAGAGAATGTATAAAATCTTCTCAAATGCTATTGTCGTCAGCTACTCACATCAGCTGCCAGTTGTACCATATAATGCATTCAATCCGCCTCCGCAGGTATGTATCTGAAATCTTCAACTTATGACCAAAATAGTATCTTGTCTTCATGTTGAGTTAACTAACCATGGAGGCATCTTATTCAGGAATATGTATTGATGAAATCTGATCCCCCAATTGCTCAGCGCCGATCTCCTCGCCAGCACACCATTCAGGGAAGTGGAGGGCCGACAATCAGGTCAGACCCACAACCTCAGACCTCCAAACCGGCTGGGCAGACAGGTCCTCGCAAGAGAAAGCTGGTGCTTAATGACGACGAGGGCGATGACAGCAACAAATCTGGGGACAAGGGCACGCCCAACAAACTCCCAAAGCATACCATGCCCAGGAAAAAACTGGCTGGCCGTCAAATGCCAAAGATTAGAACATCTTCCAGGTATAAACTTCTCGGTACCATCTCCCTTTGATATGCTTCTCTCATAGAAATTACGCTGAATATCGAAAGGACACTTTGCAGGAAACCATCCGACATAGATCCAACTGGAAAAGATCCTGATCCGGCTGTGACAGAGCCAAATTTATCCAAAGACGCTGAGCCGTCTGCCGAAAACCAGCCGACTGCCGAAAGCCAGCCGACTGCCGAAAGTCAGCCGACTGGCGCCCATGCTTCGGATGACAAAGCCGATCCGAGTGACCAGCCGCCAACTGGAGACCAGTCGGCAACAGCTGAAACCGCAACAACACAAGAGCCCCCGACTGGAAACCAGTCGGATGTAGGTCCCGATGAAGAAATCCCTCATGTTCAGCCAGGAACATCCTCAGGTAACACATCTTCTCAAGTGATGCCGATTTAAATAACTTCAGCTTACTCGTCTAATGTCTTGGAAATACATCAGGAACACTAGGCGACGACGAAGAAACAATTCCTCGCATAAAGGCGGCTGATGATTCCCGTCCTCCTATCTTACTCAAATGGTGGGACGAGAATTCGCAAGTTGCCGGCATCGTCATAAATCGTCAAAAAGAAGATGAGGAAGTGTGCCAGCTGAAGAAAGCACTTGGAGAAGCCACTCGCATTGTGAATGTAAATCTTCCGGGTGACTGCCTTTAATAACTTTGTTCTCTCTTTAGCAGAACTGAACCATGATCCATCATGCAGAGAATCCATCTTCGCAATGAGGCCAAGACTACAACTTTGGAAAAGCTGGTTCCTCATTTGGGAACTCTTGAAGCAGTTAGGGACCAGCTGCATGAGGCCAAGGAGTACGCCAAAAAGACAGAGAAGGAGTTAAGGGACCGAATTGCCCAGCTCCAGGATTCAAACTTCGAGCTAAGTGGTTCATCAAAAGGTAATCTTCTAGATCTGTCCCATTAATTTATGCTGTCATAGCTGTATCCTCAAACATTTGGATTTCAAACAGCGCAAGCTACCAGGATGGCTCAAATGGAGAAACAGATTGAAGCCTTGAAAAGAGACAAAGTAGAACTAGCTGCGCAAAGGGACTCAGCCTTGAAGGAGGTTGAAGGTACTGCCAACTGACAATTTGAACTTTCCTCTCTTTAATGCAGCAGACTCTTATTATAAATGTGTTTTGTAGACCGTAAAATCAAATCTCAAGCTCAGTTTGATGTCCTGGTTGGTAAGATCAAGAAGCTTGAAGGAGCAAGAGACGAAGTCGCCAATGTCGCTACACCACTTGTCCAAGCTATGTTCCTTAATAACAGTGGTCCGAGTGCACTTGACGCAACCGAAATCTTTGACAAGCTGAGAGTTGCACCGGATGTATACTTCAAAAATATCAAGAAAGCTGGAAGTATGGGAGCTAGTATGGCATTGGCGATGACCAAATCCTTGTACCCGAGGATTGAAATTGATACCATTGATGGCTTTGCAGACGGGACAAGTGAAGAAGCTGCTCTTGATCTTATCAGTAATGCTCAAAGTGCGGCTGACAAGATTGCAAGTGATGTTGTAGAGCAATTCCGCAACAACGATCTTCAGCCGAGTAATAATAACTCTGATGACGAAAGGACTGACTCTGACTGAGTATGAATGTAACAAATGGAGGCTCAATTTGTACAATACTGGTGTATTTATGCTGTGCTTGATAGTTCTAGCCAAGTCTTTGATTTCTTAAAAGCTTTTATCAAGCTTTGTTGAGCCTAAAACCCAAAGAAGCTATTAAAAACTTTCAGTCCTCGCAGACTAAGTAGAAAAAATCAAACAAGGCAATGATAGACCAAGTAAGCAAATTAAAAAAATCACACTCCATTATTATGATGATAGCCCCCGACTGACAACTTCAAGAAGAAAACTTGATGTTGACAGTCAAGAAAACTTGATATTGACAGTCAAGATAGGGAAGTACAATGATAAACTTAAGCGTAGAAACGACGAAGATGTTCAATGTTCCAAGAGTTGTCGACAAGAGTACCGTCTTCGCGCTTGAGTCGATAAGAACCTGGCCGGGTGACTTCAGAGATAATAAATGGCCCTTCCCATAGAGGAGATAACTTGTGCCGATCTCGTGTAGTTTGAATTTTGCGCAAAACCAGGTCACCGACTAAAAAGGCACGAGATCGAACATTGCGATTATGATAGCGCCGCAACCCTTGTAAATATCGAGCCGACCGAATCAAAGCTGCTTCGCGGGCTTCTTCG